AAGGGGGAAATCAGTTCAAAAATAGAAAAAAAAAACCCCCAGACATTATTTGAGATCGTCATTTCAGATGTACAGGCGGGCGAGGAGAGAGAGAAAAGAGGGGGGAGGAAAAATCAGTTCCAAAACAGAGAAAATATTTTCCTCCAAACATCACTTTGGATGACAAGCTAGCTTACCGATCAGTGGCTCAAGTTGCACAACACTTTCAACATTCTCGTTATCCACTTTTGTGAAACGTAACGAAGTAGCTTCGGCGAAACGTTTCGTTGTCAAAGCACGCCTTCGACACATAGCAATCAGTATGAATAGCGAGAAAAAGAATACTGCAGCAAGCACAAATAGTGCCAAATAAACAATTTCCATTCTGAAATTATGCCATTTTCCGCATATTTGTGTACCTGTAACGTTCGGGAGCACCTGGGCTAGGCCTGGGCGGGAATGCGCTCAACAACAAACAACAAAACGCCCCTTTATTAGTACAGTGTCAAAAAAAATCAAAAAACAAACAAACAAACGACAAACCGCCGAATACCCGGCAGCATCTCCAAGCTGCTATCGGACACAAAAAAAAGGGGCAGTCGAGGCGGCAGCAGCTCCAAGCTGCCACCGTTTTTTTTTACATCTCAGAACAACAAAAAAAAAGCAATCTTCGTTTCATTTCTAATCATCACATTAAATATCAAGGAAGGGGAACTCTAGTCAAGAGACCGGACATTTGCATATCACAGGGAACTGAAGGGCAACTGGGCAAGGCGAAGGGGGTTTAGCCTTCATCTTCGTTTCCTTGCAATTCGCCCCTTCATCCGTTTGCAACATATCATTTACTACCGTGAGATTAAAAGGTGATATCTCACCGCGACCCAGAAACGGTAAGTGTTCGAAACAAGGTGGTGATGTTCAACACACACAAAAAAGAAATCTGAACCAGCTTAAGCTCTGCCACCCATCGTTCTATGGGGAGAGTTATTTTGAGTTGGTGGAAGATGAGACGAACGTCGGGATCAACAGCACGCTGATTGCCAGGCGATTTGAAGCATCTTGGCTAAAAAAGCGTCTGGAAAAATTGTATCAGCCATGCAAATGAAAGAACGACGCCATAAAGTGCAGCTGATAAGATAAGTAAAACACAAAGATATATTGGAAAAAAAATAGCGTGCATATAATAAAAAAAGAAATAATGATGGAACAGGG